TAAATGCTGGTTTTTAGGCACTCTTTCCACTCAGCAGGGTTAGTCTCTCAATCACTACGTAGTTTCAATTTCTACCCTCAGGCTTTGGTTTCCACAACTCCAGTTCCGATCTCAAACTGTTTTTGAACTCTGGTGCTGAAGAATACTCTTGAAAGTCCCTTGGGCAGCAAGGAGATCAAACCAGTTAATCCCAAAGGAAATCAGTCCTGAATACTCATTGGAAGGACTAATGCTGAGGCTCCAATACTTTGGCTACCTGATGTGAAGAACTGACTCATTGGAAAAGACCCTGATGCTGGCAAAGATTGAAGGCAGGAGGAGAAGGGGGAGACAGAGGATGAGATGGTCAGATGGCATCACAGACTTGATGGACATGAGTTTGAGCAAACTCTGGGAGATAGCAAAGGACACAGAAACCTGGAGTGCTGCAATCCATGGGGCTGAAAAGAGTCGGATATGACTTAGCAAAACTGAACAACAGTCCTGACCTCATTCCTAACATCCAGACCTGGTTTCAATTTTTACATGGCATAAAAGATGTGTCAATCTGGAAGCTTAACTTTCTGGAATCATTTCATTTCAACCTCTAGCATTTTACCCTTTAGATATTCCAAACTACCCATTTAAGGTTTCAGTCTAACAGTAAAAGCTATGGAATCAGACTTCCTGGGTTTGAATCCCTATTTCAACACTTACTCCGTAACCCCGAGTAAGTTACTAGATTACCCTGTGCCTGAGTTTTCTCACGCACAAAATGGAGAAAATAACAGAAACTCTCATAAAAGACAGAATTAAGTGAGTTAATAAATCCCTGGGTTGGGAAGATCTCCTGGAGAAGGAAATGGCAACCCACTCCAGTATTCTTGCCTGGAAAATCCCATAGACAGAGGAGCCTAGTAGGCTACAGTCCATGGGGTCGCAAAGAGTCGGAGACAACTGAGCAACTTCACTTTCACTTTCTTCAATACATATAAAGCAAGTCTTAAAAGCATGCCTGGCACATAGCAAGCATTCAGTAAGTTATTATTTATGCTACCAGGTCCTGCAATACCATATACATACAAAAATTGACTGTATGCTATTCTTGTTAAGGGCGCTCTACATTTAGGTTCCTTAGATTAACCTATACACTATTAGGATTTCAAGTTATTTTAGAAAATTACTATTTTTACTTCACATTCTTTGTTAAGGCTCCCACTCACCATTCTTCATGGCTTAAAATGATATCTTGAAGTAATAAGGGGCCTCAATAATCATCTCAAGTGACCTTTCCACCCACCACAAAAATGTCTTCTAGCCATTGTCATCCAATTGCTGAACCACTAGTATTCATCACCAGTTTCACTTCTGAGCACCACCACTTTGCCAGGCCAAAACCTGCTTCCCTGTCATTTCCACCCAACCTCTGCCTTTCAGATTACCTGTAATAAGGCAGCTCCCTTTCTCACATGGCAGTTCTCTAAATACCTTAAGTCCCTCCCATCTCATAAGTTAAACTAGTTCCTCCAGTTATTTCTCACACGAAATGATTTCTACTCCTTCGACTATTGTGGACACCTCTGAATTTCAATTTGCAACTGAACTCATTGAAATACTGCACATTTGGTTTAATGGTCAAGACGAACATCCCCATCACTAGGTATTGTAATTTTATTAAAAGGGCTTAATTTTATGAAAGCATTAAATATCCTAGCATTAATGCTGATGGTCAGTCAACTATATGATATTTTGATTTCAGTTATTCATCTTCCTAAGTTTTCTATCACCTTTTCACAGCCACACTTGTGCTATGCACAGCCACATTGGGGGTTTCTTGTTACACAGTTCAACTTCTGTTCAACTGCTTCAACTTCTAGATCTTTACTTTTGTCCTCCTATCTTGATTGCCTTAACTGTCACTTCAGTCCCACTGGTCTCCTAATATGTTCTCCATTTAATTAATGTTACCAATATTCTCAGGGACCAAGAATCCCCTTTTCTCAGGCATAGTCTGCACCACAGCACTGACTTAAACTCACCAGGCCAAGCACACTAAAATGATCATCTTAACCATCACCTCTTTTGCTCTTACATAAAATTGATAAATACCAAGTCACATAGGTCTGCACCTGCAGCCAAATCCAGAATTCTTGCCTTCATGTTCAAGTCACAGTATACCAGGAATTACTGGGGTAAGGCTTAAGTGCCAGAGGGTTTTGAGTTAGACTTAACTCAGATCCAGATTCAAATCTCAGATAACTTACGACTTGGGCAAGTTAGTCAACTCCAATTATCCTCATCTGTGTATCAGGAATAATAAATTCACAGTGTTGTTCAGAGCAGTAAATGATCTAACGTAAGAAAAGTTCTTAGTTCATTGCTCTTATTTCAAGTAAACACTCAATGAATGTTCCTTGTTGTTGTAATTCTTATTTGTGCATGTATGGTAAACTCCATGGAAATTACATGTCTTTGTGGGTTCTCTTCTAGGGAGAACCCTCCATAATTTTCACTAATTTTCAATGGCTTCTTATCTCCTCTCCAGCTGTCAAAATTTTTGTCCTTCTCTGGTGAACCTCAAGACTAATCAGACTTTTTACAGATACAGATACATATGGCCATCACCAATCTATAACTTTCTTAACAGTCTACTACTCCTGTTTTGGTATTTGGATTTATTCCATTTTGACCTTAATTTTATGTTGTCTACAGTTACTTTTTATTTGACTGAGTCTCAAGACTAAAATTCGGAGAAGGCAATGCTAACCCACTCCAGTACTCTTGCCTGGAAAATCCCATGGACGGAGGAGCCTGGTAGGCTGCAGTCCATGGGGTAGCAAAGAGTCGGACACAACTGAGCAACTTCACTTTCACTTTTCACTTTCACGCATTGGAGAAGGAAATGGCAACCGACTCCAGTGTTCTTGCCTGGAGAATCCCAGGGACGGGGGAGCCCCGTGGGCTGCCGTCTATGGGGTCGCACAGAGTCAGACATGACTGAAGTGACTTAGCAGCAGCAAGACTAAAATTACAATCTAAGTTTCCTAAGGGCAAGCACTTTATTTAGGTGCTTCTATATCCTATACAAATGTTAAAAGGCTAAGATACAAGTGAACAGAAGAGAATCTCCTAACTCTTTAAGATAAACCACTTCTGCAGATTTAATTCTCAAGGTGGCCTTAACTTGTAGTAATTAAAAAGAGCAGGACTGTCGAGTCCTTCCCTTCCTCCAACTCCATCATCTACCAGCCTTCTGTCTGTAGAAAAACTTTAGTCAAATAAGTTTAATTGAAAAGTGAGAAAATACAGAAGCAAAGGAAAAACAGTCCAACAGGACCAAATACTAACAGTTTATCATTAAGCAAAGTCAAGGACCTTTCATTCCTCTTCAAGGGCTATAAATAATATTCTGAGCCATATCCTTTAACCAGTTTTATAGATACTGAAACACCCATCCGGTGGCAGAAGATAACTACATGATGACCAAAACTGTAGCCATGACATTAGCTGCCACAATTCTAAGAACTAGCCTCAAAGAAATGAGAACAAATGGACCCTCGAACTGAAGACTAGCTGTACTTAAAATAATCAATTTATGCGGCATGACCAATTTCAAGATGACTGTCGGGCTGCCTGTGCTGTTTTTACCTGTAACCTGCTTCCTCCACCTATAAACGTCCTTTCCCACTGATTGTCAATTGCAGGGAGGGAATTCAGCCTTGGGACAAGAGTCTGTCCCTGCCCCCAGTTCCAGCCTCCAAAATAAAGCAAAGTTTCCTTTCTACCAACTTTGCCTCTTCATTTGCTTTTGAGGCAAAAGCAGCTGGACCTCACTTTCCGCAAGGGAACTGAAATGCCAGAAAATAGTTTCCAAATAAAGTTATGAAAGACATTTTTTGAAGCTATCTTTTTCAGAATTTTATGTTGAGTTTAACTTTTAAAGTATTTCCTTAATTTCCATACAGTTAATTCACTTAGTGCACTTAATTCAATAAAGCTAAATAAAAACTTGTACTATTTGGATTCTAGCTACTTATTCCTTCACAAGGACCCGTACCATACTACACAGGACAACAACAAACTTTCAAGAAAATTCTGTACAATTGATTACTATCAAATTGTAACAATGTGATTACTCCCTACTCCAGGATTTCCCTCTCAGCCCAGAGGGCAACCACGTGTCTATTCTAAGATTTCCAAATACAGGTTTCCCGGCTATGCTAAAGTAGAGCATGAAAGCTTTAATATAGGCCAAAAGTGCATAAAGCGAAGAAGCAATTACCTTAACACGCACTTTGCTAAAGAATGCACAAAATAAATCCAGATAAAGCACATGCTCACAGAAACAGTTCAAAGCTATGACTGACTGATGCTGAGATGCTGAATGTAGTTTCTAGGAAGGGAGCTGGTGGTGCCATTCACGCCGCTGGCGATGCACGCTGCCTCTCAAGGGCTTGGTGCAAAACAAACGCTGAACTTGCTATTCTCGATTTTCGCCTTCTTTTTGTAATGGCGAAAATCCTCTTCGATTCCTTCCGATTTGGGGGTGAGCGGAAAAAGGCTTACTAATGAAAGCCCTTCCTAAAAGCGAGGTGGTGTGAAGCGAACTTTCGAAAAGCTGGGGGTGGGGGTGGGGGTGGAGGGTACTTGTACCTCCAAGGGTGAACGATTTGCACGTGTGAGGTTTAAGCCCTGAAATGTGATCAACCCTTTCTTATTTTATAAAGCAGGCTTTTGAGTTTCACATTCTATACCAATGAGGACCTTTCTCAGACTTTTATATCCATTCTCCTCATCCCTCAGTACCGGGGGAAAGTGGACTCCGGCAGCCAGAACACTTAAACCAGACTCCCTTTCCTCAAATCTGGCCCCACGGGAGCCCGGGCAAACAGTATTCTTCTTCAGCTCTCGCCTCGCCCGCAGTACGCAAGAGGCAGGTGAGGGCGAATCCCTCCCTCTGCGTCTTTAATCGCTCAGTTCGGGGTGACAGCAAGAAGCCCAGGGTCTGACTGGTCTCTTACCCGCGAAGCGGATCTTCACGAGGTCAAGCGGGTGCAGCGCGAGGTTGGAAAGGACCCCGCCGCTCACGCCCGCCACCAGATTCTCGTAGCGGACGTGGCGGAATATTGTGCTGCTCCACGCCGACAAGCCGGACGCCGACTGGCCCTGGCCTGTCATGGGCTCAGGGTCCGCTGATACCGCGGGCGGGGGACGAGATGCAGTGGCCGCCACCGTGGCGACGGTCGCCGCGCTGGAGCAGAAACCGCAGGGCAGGAGCCCACTTCCGGCACCCGCGCGTGGAGTCACACTCGCGGACGCGAGGGTGAAGCAGAGAGACCTAGGCACACGAGTGACTGACTAGAGAGGCGCCGCCGCACATCTAGCGGACAAGGCAGAGAGTGGGCAGCGGGGCAGGGCGCCTCCGCCAAGGCCCCGCCCCCGCCTCGCCCACCTCCGCCTCGCCCACCTCCGCGGCCCGGCTCAGGCTGAAGGGCGTGGATCTGAGAACACAGATGAAGCACCGCCCCCAGCCAACCTTTGTCTGCACTACTACGGAGCGCCGCAGGGCCCATCTGAGGCCGGTTTCCGCTCCGCGGAAGTCACATGACAGGAAGTGGTCGGGAAGAAGCGGAAGTGGCATGTGTTGGTGGAGAAGGCGGCTTCGGTGGCGTAGCTGGGGCCTGGAGGGAAAGGGTCGTAAGATCCCTGGAGAACTGGCAGCAAGATGAAGGTGAAGATGTTGAGTCGGAACCCCGACCACTATGTCCGCGAAACCAAATTGGACTTACACCGAGGTGAGATAAGTTAGTTGGGAGTCCGCCAGCCTTGGATCCGGCCTCGACTTCACCGAGTAAATCTGGTTGTGGAGGGGAGACTGGAGTTCTACTCTCGTTTGCCAGTTTTCTTTCGCTGGGGCTCTTGGTTTATAAAGCGCTTCTGGTTCTGGGTAGCAGAACACTTGTCTTCAAATCCCTTTCCTCATAATTTTTGTCTAGTGGTCAGTGGCAGTTAGTTATATGGGGAAATGATTCCGTCTACACCGCTTTCAGCTGCTCTCTGTTCTCAGGGTACTGTTGGGGGGAATGTGGACTTGAAAGAGCCAAACTCGAGGATTGTGAAGGAATTAACAGTTAAGCAAACATCTTTAAACCTCTCCTTGTTACTCTAACTTTCGACAACTTTGCTACTTAAAATTACGTACTTCGGGATGTGGGAACAGACAAAGGTGACACTTAAAGCCGTCAGTTTTCTCTCAAAAACTCTTGTGGAGAAGTTTAGTGGGGGAATGACTAAAATGAAATTAATGGGTTTTATCTGTACTGGTCTGTTCCCCCATTAACCTGCTAACTGCTTATGAATTATAGCTAAGTGACCAAGCATGTGTGAATAGACTGTTCTAAGTGAAGCGAATAACAGGTGCAAAGGCCCTAAGGCAGGAATAAACTTAAGGCATAAGAGAAGGGCCATGTCTTCAGAGTTTGAGGTACGTGTGAGCCATAGAAGGTGAGGCTGGAACAATATTTCCGTATGATTGAGTCATATAGCTTATCAGTATATATTGTGAGCAATGCTAACTAAATGGTCTCTGCTCACAAGATGTTTACAGGTTAAGTATCAAAACAGCAGTGTTCTTAAAATGCAAAGTAGATTATGTCACTCGGACTTGACATCATCCCTGCTCCTTGAACTTGGTCCCATCGTCCTCTCTCCTTTCATGGGTGACTACTTTTCCCACAGCTAGTGTTCATGTTCTCTTGTTAGTCTGTGTGCGTTTCAGGCATGCGATGGCACACACCTCTTCCCAGTTTCTGTCCCCTGCAGATTTCCCCCATCCTGTGCACATGTAGGCACCCTCTTATGCTTCTGTTTCATATTTTTATACTAATGTCAGAGTGTTTATTACATTGTCTCATTATTATTGTGACTATCAGTCTTTTTTTTATCAGATTGAGCTTGCAGAGAGTGGCCCAGTCGTGTTTGTTTCTATGTCCCCTGTGTTTAGATAGCACCTGGCACTTAGTAGTTGCGTTATTAATGTCTGAAGGAAGGGATGGGTAACTGGTTCGTCATAGACTTTTTTTGTTTAAGTGGTCTTTGTAAATGTGGTGCAGTATTCAAATACTTATTTGAATATTCTGACTCATAGATCTGGGGTGTGGGCATCAGGGAATCTGTATTTTTAAAACTCTGTTGGTAATACAGCTGATGACATACAAATGTATAAAAACAACATACATCAATATGTACTGTGAGTCTGTTTGCTCTGATGTCCTGAGTGTTGTGGTATATGGGAGGTGTTCCATATCTTTGTTGAATGTTTATTGTTGACTGAATTGAATTTAGAGATGGGCATAATTATGGGTATTTGGAAAAATTTGTAGAAGATACAAGATTTAAACAGTTTTTTTTAAAGGATGTGTAGGGTTCAGATGGGTTTCCCAGGTAGTTTGGAGGGTAAAGAATCTGCCCGCAGTGTGGGAGATCCATGTTCAATTCCTGGGCCAGGAAGGTCCCCTGGAGAAGGGACTGGCGACCCACTCCAGCATTCTTGCCTGGAGAATTCCATGAGCAGAGAAATACAGTCCATGGGGTTGCAAAGAATCGGACCCAACTGAGCGATTAACACGTAAACACAAAATCAAACATTGAAAGTGCTCAATAAATAGTATAATTATCATCACAACATTGTATCCTTATCAGTACAGTGATCAGCACTGGAGATTATTAGTGTTCCCTGCCCAGTAAGGGGGCTTCCCAGATGGCGATAGTGATAAAGAACCCATCTGCCAGTGCGGGAGATGCAAGATATATGGGTTTGATCCCTGGATCAGGAGGATCCCCTGCCTAGAGAATCCCATGGACAGAGGAGCCTGGCAGGCTATGTTCAATGGGTTGCACAGAGTCAGACACGAGTTAAGCAACTTAGCATGCATACACACACCCAGTAAGGAGCTTGAGAGTTGAGCAAACGTTTATGATACACTTGTTTTTTGCTAAGCACAAGAAATGTGATGAAGAATGTAGCGGAAGCCCTGCGGGTGAAGGCTTATAACCCAGTTGAAGAGCGTAGTAGGACATTAGAAAAGGAAAAGTTGTGTGTGTGTGTGTATATATAGAGAGTCTAGTTATTTTGCAAGATGTATGTGTTCTATCACTTTCTGGTAATTTTGGAGAGGTTCTGGACAAAAGGTCTTCAACGTTTTTAGTTTTAGTCCTCGGCATAGTCAGTGTCCCTCATATAGTCTTATTGAATAATATATTGAATGATTAGCCAAGGAATACCACAGGAGGTATTAAATATGAATTGTTTTATTAAGAGGAATCATTCTTATTTCAGTTCCAAGAAACTATGATCCTACCTTACATCCTTTTGAGGTCCCACGAGAATATATAAGAGCTTTAAATGCTACCAAACTGGAACGGGTATTTGCAAAACCATTCCTTGCCTCCCTGGATGGTCACCGAGATGGAGTCAATTGCTTGGCAAAGAATCCAAAGAGCCTGGCTACTGTCCTTTCTGGGGCATGTGATGGAGAGGCAAGTATCACTAAACACTGACATTTTAAACTGAAAATAGTTATGTTGCAAATATTCTTCCTTTAATTGTGAGTTACTATGGGTTTTAATTGGTTTGATTTCATTTTTCTATGTCCTGTTTTCTAATTCTCAAGACTAAATTTTCTTTGAATCAGTAACTTCAGTAGTTTCTTATCTAAACCTAAGAAATTAAAAATGTAGTAGCTTTTGGTTGTTTGACAGTAAGTAAGAAGGCGTGTTTACAATACAGATATTTAGCTGTGAGTTTTTTTCACAGAGTGTGTTATTAACAATTCAGCACTTAATTATTTCCCACTGTGCCAAGGAAAGAAAAGCTTTAAAGCACTTTTACACTAGAATCAACAGAGTATTTAAGAGATTCAGTTTTCTGCTTGTTGATGTTTGTATCCATAGACATTGCATATTTTTTTTTCCAATGTGCCCAACAGACATTCTTCTGTGAAATGTAAAAAAATTTTTATTTTATTTATTTATTTATTCTACCTTTGGCTACGCTGGGTCTTTGTTGCTGTGTGTGGGCTTGCTCTAGTTGCCACCGGTGGGGGAGGGGGCTCCTCTTGGTTGCGGTGCTGAGGCTTCTTGTTGCAGTGGCATCTCCTGTTGCCGAGCATAGGCTGCAGGGCGCACAGGCTTCTGTGGTTGCTCCATCCCATGTGCGATCCTCCCTGACTAGGACTGAATCCGTGTCCTCTACACTGGTAGGCAGAACCCCAGCCATTGGACCACCAGGAACGTTCAGCATTGCATTATTTTGATCTAGAAGATTTTGTTTTTAGCCATCTGGTAGAGTGATTTATAGCCTTTTCAGTGTTGAACTTATTTTTCTTGGGATGTAGTACTTCTGTGCCTGAACATTTTTTATTTATACTTTACTGAAATTTTCTAGTATGTTTTATTATAGGTTAAAATTTGGAACTTGACCAGACGAAAATGTATTCGTACGATACAAGCACATGAAGGTTTTGTACGAGGAATATGTACTCGCTTTTGTGGGACATCTTTTTTTACTGTAAGTATAATACAGTTAAGTCATTAACTCTTTTCACCATGTGTAGAACTAATCTAATTGAATATTTTCTGAGTTCATTTATGTGATCCAAGGCCCTTTCTGATTTTCACAATGCAAAATAACATTAGAACTCAGATAAGTCTTGGTTTTCTTTATGTAATCCAGCCTTTCCCATACTTAAAAAATTTTTTATTTCTAATTACACATTACATGAGTGCGTGCTAAGTTCGTTTCAGTCATTTCCGACTCTTTGCGACCCAGTGGACTGTAGCCAGCCAGGTTCCTCTGTCCATGGAATTCCCCAGGCAACAATAGTGGAGTGGGTTGCCATTCCCTCCTCCAGGGGACCTTCCCAACCCAGGGATTGAACTCATGTCTCTTATGTCTCCTGCATCGGCAGGTGGGCTCTTTACCACTAGTGTCACCTGGGAAGCCCAAATACATATTACTGAACTAATATTCTATAGAACAGTTAGAAGTGGGATTAAAACAAGATGAGTCATTTGTACTTCCTTTGTCAGTTAGCAGTAAGTCATTGAAGGATTTTTGTTTTCTGATAAAATATGCTTAACATAAAATTTACCATTCTAGCTATTTTTAAGTGTATATTTCAGTGGCATTAAGTATGTTCACATCATTGTAAAGCCATCACCACTATCCATCTCCAGGACTTTTTCACCTTCCAAACTGATACGGTGTAACTGTTAAACACTAACTCCACATCTCTCACCCCTACCTCCTGCCCTTGAGTAATTTACCTGGTAATTACTGTTGTGCTTTATGTCCCTGTATGTCCCTATGTGTCTGATAATTTCACTTAATATAATATCCTTAAGGTTCATCCATTTTGTACCATGTATCAGAATTTCTTTCCTTTTTAAGACTAATGCTCCGTTGTATGTATATACCACATTTTGTTTATTCACTCATCCATTAGTGGATGTTTTGGTTATTTCTACCTTTTGGCCTTTGCGAATAATGCTACTGTGGTATGCAAATATTGAAAGTTATTGAAAGTTTTTAATAGGAAAATGACGGAGTCTGAGTTGAGCTTTCAGAGGATTAATTTGACAGCTCTGAGTGATCAGTTTGGAGGCAGTTTTAATAGTCTGCATAAGCAATAATAGAGTCAGCTCTAGAGAGTGAAAATAATTGAAAGTAGTTGTTGGGTTTAAAAACTTTATTTTTAGAATTAGGAACTGTTTTATTGCAGTGTAACTGACATACTACACTACATAAGTTTAAAGTGTACAGCACAATGGTTATATATATCCTGAAGTGATTATCACAGTAAGCTTCCTGAACATTCATCATTTCATATAGATACAAAATTAAAGAAATAGAGAAAAAGTTTTTTTTCTTACAATAGGAACTCTTAGGATTTACTCTCAACAGTTTTCCTATGTTACATCCAGTCATGTTAATTATATTTGTCATGTTGTACATTACATCCCTAGTACTTGTTTGTCTCATAACTAGACGTCTGTACCTTTGACTGCCTTTTTCCAATACCTACTGCCCCAACCCCATGCCTGTGGTAATCGCAAATACCATCTTTTTTCTGTAAGTTTGTTTTTATGTTTTTGAAGTATAATTGACCTACAATACTAGGTTGGTTCTTTGTGCACAACATAGTGATAATATTTCTGTGCATTTCAAAATGATCATAATAAGTCTAGTTGTAATGTCACCATACATAGATATCCATAAATTTTGATTATATACCCAACTCTGTACACATACTTTGCAGCTAGAAGTTCATACCTTTTAATCTCCCTCACTTATTTCTCTCATCTCCCCTCTCTCCCTGCTGGAAACCACCTGTTTGTTCTCTATATTGATAATTCTGTTTGTATTTTGTTATGTTTATTCATTTCTTTTTTAGAGTCCACATGTAAGTGAAATCATGCAGTGTTTATCTTTTTAAGGCTGAGTAATATTCCATTATGTTTATATAACACATTTTCTTTATCCTTTCTTCTGTTGTTAAGCACTTAGGTTGCTTCCCTATCTTGGCTATTATTACTAATGCTGCAGTGAATATAGGGGTGTACATATCTTTATATCTTTTCTAATAAGTGCTTTTGTTTTCTTCCAATTAATACATAGGAGTTGAATTACTGGATCATATGGTAGTTGTAGTTTTAATTTTTTGAGGAACCTCCATATTGTTTTCCATAGTGGCTCTACCAGTTTACATCCACCAACAGTGCACAAAGGTTCCCTTATCTCCAAATCCTCACCAACATTTGTTTCATGTTGGCTTTGATAATGATAGCTTACAGTAAACAATGTCAGATTCGTGATCTCGGAAGAAGATTTAGCTTGAGGACTAGGGACCGGGCTTGATGACTCAAGAGCTTTTGTGTAGCAGAGTTTTACTAAAGTGAAAAAGAGAGAGAAAGCTGCTGACATGGGCACAGAAGGGGGCTGGAGAGCACCCCCATTCACTAATCTATGCGAGGCCTTATATACTTTTCCCAGACCTCCTCCTACAGCATACATCTTAAATTAACAAGATTAGAACTAACAATAGAAAGATGTTACCAGACCCACTCACATAATATACATTTTAATATGACAGGATTAGTCAGAAGATTCTTAAGGAGACACACATCCTGGAGCAAGATATATTGTTATATTGACTAAGACAAAGCAATGTAGAAAAAACATTCGTCCTTTTCTCCTCGAGATCCCCAGACCCCTTCCTCCTCCTTGGGGACCGTGTACTTCTTACCAACCTACCCTGGAATTGACTCTCAATAATAACCATTCTCCATTCTGACAGGTATAAGGTTTGTACCTCATTGTGGTTTTGACTTGCATTTCCCTGATGAGCAGTAATGTTGGGCATCTTTTCATGTACCTATTTGGCATCTGTGTGTCTTTGGAAAAAAATGTTTATTCAGAGCCTCTGCCTATTTTTTGAGTTTTTTTGATGTTGAGTTGTATAAGTTCTTTGTATACTTTGGATATTAATCTGTTATTGGATATATTGTTTGCAGATATCTTCTTTTTTTTACTTTATTGATAGGTTTTTTTTTTGCTGTGCAAAGCTTTTTTAGTTTGATGGAATCCCATTTGTTTTCCTCGCCCGAGGAAACATATTCAAAACAATTTAGTTATGTCGATGTTTATGTGATATCTTGAACATATCAGCCATGTCCCAAAGTCTTAAATTACCATAGTTTGTTTCCTTAACTTTCATTTGGGCTAAGGTGCCAGCAGTTCTGCCCACCATTTCTTTCACCATCTCTGTAACCGTCAGCTCCAGTGAAAAGGCAAGCAATGCCTATGCTAACATTATGAAAATATTATTATCCTTATGGACTCCTGAAAAATTCTCAGTATCCTTCAGAAGTCTACATTTTACAGTTTGAAAACCTCTGCCTTAATATTGATAGTTTCTGGAGTTTTGAGTCATACAAAGAAAGACTTGTCCCATGCCAAGATAATAAAAATGCCTTGTCTCTAGTATCTTTATGGATTTTGTTGCATGTTTTCCATTTAAAGTTATCTGGAATTATATTTTTATATCAGGTGTCACATTGGTTCATACTTTTTAAATGACTAACCAGATCTCACAATACCGTTTTATTGTAATTCATTTTTCTTCCTAATTTGAAATGTCATCCTTATTACAACATGCAGCTTTTACCATCTTTATGATGTAATATTATTTCTACCCTTACTCTTGTTTTGCTCTATTCATCCTATTTTATTTTAAATTGTATGTGTTTTATATGTTTATCACAAATCTTTAACAAGGTGGGACATAAATGAATCAGTAAATATAGTACTGGAAGAATGTGGTATATGTTACTTTTTAAACTAAAGATGTTTATAATTTGATGTATACATTGGCAAGTTTACAGTTTATAACTGTTCTTCATTATCATTGTAAATATTTCTAGGTTGGTGATGACAAAACTGTGAAGCAATGGAAAATGGATGGACCAAGCTGTGGAGAAGAGGAGGAGCCATTGCATACTATATTAGGAAAGGTACAAAAATAAACTGACCCAGACTTGGGCTACTAAAATTCTTCTCTTTTACCTACAGTTATTTCGTAATTTCAATTTCATAAAAAGGTAAAAGAAATCAGACACTTTAGGCTGCAGTACTTCACCTGTTTTAAGCAATAGTTAATACAATCAAAGGGCCTTTGCAGTTAAAGAATTTGAACAGTTCTTTGGTGTTGGTTGCAATAATGTTCTGTTTCTATTTTTAGTTAGAGGAGGCAGAGAAACGTTTCCTATAGCAAGAACATGGGAGGAAATCTATAAGATAAAAGGTCAGAAAAAAATAGTGCTTCAGCTTCTCATTTATATCATGGATCTTTCCCAAAGCTCAGCATTTACTTGAAAGTATTCTTTAGGAAATTAATTTAATAGTGTGCTTTCTATATAAATCTTATTTACTTTTCTTAACAGCATTCTGCAAATCAGTTGATATAGTTTAGTTATAACTTAAGTTATAGCTTAATAATTTGGATCATTTGCTCTACCCATGTTTTTTAATCCTTATTTTTTGATACTAAGGGAAATTCTAAAATTAGAATCTTTAAATATTTCATCTTTAAAATCTTTTTGTCATTTTAGTATTTAGTATATATTTAAGTTCTGCTCTTCAGGCTTCAAGAAGTTCTAAATGTTTTTTTTTAAATGAGAGGTTTGGCCCATGATTAGGACTTTGCTGAATTCTAATGGTCAATCTAAATGTTCTTGAAGGATGTGGAGGTGGTATATTAGTATGAAATGGAAATAGTTTGCAGATGGTAAAAAATTAGTAATTCATGAAAGAAAATTTGTTTCATTCTTGTAAAATGTCTTATCACTAGGAGTTCCAAAGATTTTTTGAAATATTTAGTGTTACCCTTTGTGGTACTGGGGGTTAATTCTTACTGTGGAAAAGTTTGTAGAGACTTGAATAGAAATAATTCTAAATCTGCAGATGCTGATAAAGAGCTCTTAAAAGCTTAAAGTATCGGCTAAATAGTTGCCTTTAATTTGCTTTGCAAACTTTTTTTTACTGTCTAGTACAAAGGTAGGCTTTTATCTGGCCCTGAATAGATGAGTCACATATTTTAAGTAAATAAATACCAAATTTATGAGATTTTATTGCTTTTAACAACCTTAGCATCCACGCTTGCTAATTTTGTTTCTCTTTCTAATTTTGATGCAGTTGTTTTTAATCTGTGTTTCTTTCCTGGGAATCAGTATTTCATGTGTTAACTGTGGAATTAAGTTGTTTAGAAATTACCTTTTGTGTTTCATTAGTTGATTCCAAGATCCTTCAATACCCAGTGACAATTTAAAAATTACTTCAGTGCTATATATTCAAACTTAATTAAATACATCCCATGTTAACTTTATTCTTTATTCCCAGAATGTGTGATAAGGAACATCACTTCTTATGGTAGAATTTTCTCCTTTAAGTAAGGGCTTTAAAGAAATTTCTTAGTGAACAGGGATTTTCTTAAGCAGATGAGAGTGTAGAGAAATATATTTTAAGATAGTATTCTGTAGATTTGAAGTACTAATGAAAAGACTCATCTATAACAACCTCTCTGCTTTTAAAGACAGTGTATACAGGAATTGATCATCACTGGAAAGAAGCTGTTTTTGCCACATGTGGACAGCAAGTAGACATTTGGGATGAACAAAGGACCAATCCTATATGTTCAATGACTTGGGGATATGACAGTATAAGCAGTGTTAAATTTAACCCAATTGAGGTAATGCTCCTTTTTGAAATATGTTCTGCTTATTGTTTCTTTATTATCATATAATTTCAACTCTATTCAGGAAAAATTTGAATGTGTGATCTAAGAATTTTCTGTTTTAGTGGTGTTCTCCCATTTGGTCATTTTTCCAGATTATGTCTGAGTTCCACTTTCTTTGGTCAGATCTCAACATCTTTGTCCACAGTTTAGTCCCAGACACCAGTGTTCAGCACTGTTACAGGCAGTGTATGCATGTGCTCGTGGGGGTAAAACTCAAGCACATACCATCCTAAGAACTTTCAGTATTATTTGTACCTTCAGCATTCATGTTCTACAAAGTGAAAGTGAAAGTCACTCAGTTGTGTCTGACTCTTTGTGACCCCATGACTATACAGTCCACGGAATTCTCCAGGCCAGAATACGGGAGTAGGTAGCCTTTCTCTTCTCCAGGGAGATCTTCCCAACCCAAGAATCGAACCCAGGTCTCCTGCATTGAAGGCAGATTTTTTTACCAGCTGAGCCACAAGGGAAGCCCCGTGTTCCACAGATTACCTTTAAAAAAAAATGTTAATTCTTCTTTACTCTGTTGGAGGTCAGAAGAAGAAGTGTTGAGCATTGTTTTCTTTAATCATTTGTACATTACAAGCACATCAGTGCTTCCAAATAATATGCATGGTTATTTTTATACTACATGATAATTCATTATAATTCTGTTTTTTCTTTGCTCAGAAGACTAAATTGTGATTCCTAATTCCTTCCAGATCTAAAGGAAGAGCTAGAGATTAGCCTACTTATTGTTTATTTAGGCCCAAACTTGGGAATGGAGGCTGCCCTGAAGGCCACGCTAGCTCCTGGACTCCAGGCCTTTCCCTGAGCTTTTTCTGAATGCACAACAACTGATAAACTCACTGTCCAGAAGACTCAGTCAACATGCCTTTTCCTGAAGGAAGAAAAGGAAATCACTGTGTATGAGCTGGTTTTAGAAGTTATCAGGAGACTATCTTGTTAGATGGTACCAGAGAAAATTCTCATCTGCAGGTTTTGCATTTAAGAGACTCTTGATTGACAAAAGGAGAAATAAAAGGTTGAGTCAAAGTGGCAGGGTATAAAGACTGAGTGAGGGGCTTCCTTGGTGGCTCAGTGGTAAAGAATCCACCTGCCAGTGCAGGAGACGTGGGCTCAATCCCCGATCCAGGAAGATTCCCACATGCCAGGAAGGAACTATTGAACCTGTGCTCTAGAGGCTGGGAGCCTCAACTACTGAAGCCCATGCGCCCTAGAGCCTGTGCTCATAAGAGAAGCCACCGCAATGAAAAGCCCCTGCTCACCACAACTAGAAAACCCCACACAACAAAGAAGACCCAGTGCAGCCAAAAATAAATAAAATTATAAAAATAAAAGTATTTTTTAAAAAGTGAGATGCAGTAGTATGATATGAACTTGGCTTTGAAGTCCTGCTGAGAAGTCAGTCAGAGGATACCCCCTTTCCTTCAGCCCATACTGGTAAACACTTGCGGGAGAGGCTGCAGGGTTAGAGCAGGGATTGGCAAGGTATAGTCTGTGAAGCCACTGCCTGTTTCTGGTTTTTTTAAGTATTTTTCTGGAACGCAGCTGTGCCCTTTTGCTCATGTGTTGTTTGTAACTGAGTTGGCACTACAGAGTAGAGTTGACTAACACTGCAGAAACCATACGGCCTCACAGAGCCTAAACTGTGTCCCCTGTCGCCCTTTACAAAAAGAGTTTGCCGATCGCTGGGACAGAATACCTGGTTCGTCCTTCTCTTCCTCACTCCACCGTCCATTTCCCTTCCCTGGGTTCCCCTTGGTTGTCGAAGTGAGCTATGGCATGCAAGTCAGCCTTACAGACCCGGCCACAGTGACCCTGGGCAGAAGCAGGTGACTTGTGAGAAAATTTAATGTCTTGCCTTGCTGTGGACCTAGGCTGGAATTGTATTTCCTGCCAGTATGCCTTTGCGTTGACCTTTCACAAGTCATAATTTTTCTCTGTATTTGTCTATTTTTAAAATGAGATTAATTATGTCTTCCAGTGTACTTAGGTTTGTTGCAAGTGTCAAATGTGATAATATATGTGAATATTTTTAAAAGGTGCTACCCAAGTTTAAGATGGTGGTGTTATGCTGTTTAAAAAAAAAAAACCCAAAAAACCAGAAGGAACAGATCCTGATTCCTACTTCCCCAATGGGTAAATGAGATCTGTTGTTTCTCTGTTTTGGTGAACACCTGCGTCAGTAGAGCTGATGGCCAATCCTAAAATCATAATTGATGATTAGCGATGACCTAGCAACCATGTTTCTCAAACTAGCCTGTATAACTAGCCTCTTATTTGTTCAGCTGTGTGTGTATATGTGCTTTATTAACATTATGACCTTGACTTGGTGGTAAAAGCAAATGGTGTGCATGTCTCTTACCCTGACCCTGTATTAAACTTAATGGGGAGGGCATGTTGCTGTGAACAAATGGAGTGTATTTGTCTCCTCTAATCATCACTAACTAATTTTCTGTTAAAATATTGAAGCTGAGAATTCTGATAAAGCGAAAAGTTTGTGCCAAGAATTGCTACATTTTACAGCGTTAAAGTCAGCTTTCCTTCTTGGTGGAATTTTTTGCTTTGCTCAAATTCAAGTCTTTTTGAGAACAGTACCTGGTCAGACCTTAGAGTGAAATAATGAGAAACTAAGAAAGGTTGAGAGGAGTCACTCATAGGGGAAAAGCTCAGAGAGGAAGCAGTTTAAAAAGAGTTTGGGAAAGAACTGAGATCCTGATGGTAGCATTGGCTTTATGAGTTTTATTTGAACTGTATACACAAATGTAGCAGGCTATACAGCAATTTAGTAATTAACTCTTCCAGTTCCTCTTATGCTTTTGGTAGGAATAATATAAGCAGAAGCCAGGAGTTACATCAGGAACCCATGGGTGAGGAGGAACGGTGCTGCAGGGGTTGGGGTTTGGGATTCCATTGGTAGGTGGAGAGCTTATTTTCTCTTAATGCCAAGGATCATGTAACCACTTGACTGACACATTTATAAGTGAAGTCGCTCAGTCGTGTCTGACTTTTTGCGACCCCATGGCCTGCCAGGCTCCTCCATCCATGGGATTTTCCAGGCAAGAATACTGGAATGGGTTGCTCTTTCCTTCTCCAGGGGATCTTCCCAACCCAGGGATCGAACCCAGGTCTCCCGCATTGCAGGCAGATTCTTTTACCGTCTGAACCACCAGGGATGTCCGACACATTTATAACTGACTTACAGATAAATATTTGAAACATCTTGAAATGACAATTGGACAAAGGACAGGCCTAGTTTATACAGAGAGTTAATAACCATGAGGAAATGTCTAACTGTTAATAAAGCAATGATTTATACAGTCGGCCCTCCAAATCCACGGGTTCTGCATCTGTGGTTACAGAAGGCCAAGTATTAGGGACTTGAGAATTCTTAGATTTTGTTACTCTGCACCCAGTCACCCACAGGTACCAAGGGACGACTGTATATTTAGGAAATACTGCCATAGATATAATATTTTAAAATGATACTTACTATTGCTTCCCAGTGTAGTAAAATTAATATATTTCCACATTGCAGTGCTTAACTGCTATAACTCTTCGGAAAAACCATTACCTCTGAATAGCATAAGCCATAAAATTATTCATACTTTTTGATTAGAGTGATGCCACTACTAAAATCTTATCCTTAGGAAGAGAAGATCTAAATGTATTCGAATGTTTACTGAAGTGTTATTTATAATATGGAAGAACAGGAGACAGGTCTAAGTGAAGAAGGGGTAAGTAAAATATATTGTTATAAAATAGAATGCAGAATGTCTACAATATCATCTCAGACATCTAAAATACATGCATGGGGATTTAAGCATGGAAATCTTTGGCTTTGGTTGCCAAGATTGGGAGTGATTTGTTGTACCCTCTTACAGTGGACTTTAGTGTTACAACTTTGTATCTTAAAGGGTAATTAAATCATTTGTTCACGAATGGACATGGTTTGCTGCCAAACCTGGCTTTTAACTGATAATTGTTACACTTATTTTTAGACATTTCTCTTGGGAAGTTGTGCTTCTGACAGGAATATAGTACTGTACGATATGAGACAAGCTACTCCTCTGAAAAAGGTGAGTTTCAATTTGTCTTCTGCTTTATACAGTTGTTAATGCATCCTCTTGTGAATCGAGTGACTGAAAATATAGAGCGAATGTTTTTTTGGAATTAAAAAAATTCTTTTTAATAGAGATGTTCTTAAAACTCGAAGTGGTCATAATGGCATTCCAATTCCTTGTTGCTTTTTAGAGACCCTTAAATTTCCATGAGGTACTATATTCTATTCTTCTGTTTTCCATAATGCCCGAATATTTCAGACATCTAGTTGGTACTTACTGAATTGAAAGTTCTTAAGTATTGCATCCTATTAGTCAGGCCCTGTGATTATCATAGAGACACACATGGTATTGTATTCCAGAAAGTTTTATAACTAATTCACATAATCACCTTTATTTGTTTAGTTACATGCCGGTGTTGGGCGGGGGGGGAGGTAGCAGTTTGACATTTAGACAAGCACTATCCTGTTCAAGGTGTCAGATTTCCCAGCAGTTCTGAAGCAGTCATTCCAGAACTTAGATATCAGAGTTAATACAATCTTAAGCTGATTATAAAGCGGGAGGAAATATTATTAGTAAAGAGAGGAGTGCCATTATAACTAAATGAGTATACAGTTGATGGCAAGTGCTGGAATTGAGAGAAAACCAGAAAAGCTAGAGCTTGTTAATGGACTTCCAGTCTGTTGTCATAGACATCTCTGTGCCATATGTAACAGAGATGCTTTTAATATTTTTGTTGTTACCAAATCATTTTGATAACATGTAATAAATTCAGAAGTATTAGAAGTAGAATATATTGATTGACGTTTGAGCTAGATAAGTAGAATAATCTTTCCAAATTTCACTCATCCATGTCACATCGTGGGAGTATCATGCATGAACTTTGGTGTTAAGACTTTAAGCAGGTAACGTAATCTTTGTTTCTTCTGTGAAATGGTGATATTAATAACTACCTTACAGCTCAGTGGTGAGAATAAAACATTACTCATGTAGCAGAATGTTAACATGGAGGTGCTAGTTTTTTGTTTATTTGGTTTTTGTCTTTTTTATTGGGGTATAGTTGCTTTACAATGTCGTGATGGTTTCTGCTATACAAGTGACTCAGCTGAATGTATACATATATCCCCTCTGTCTTGGACCTCCAGCCGAACTCCTTTCATCCCACCCACCCAGGTCATCACGGAGCACCAAGCTGAGCTCCCTGCTTTATGCAGCAGGCGTTCCCACCAGCTGTCTGTCTTACACATGGTAGTGTGTATATGTATCAGTCTCTCATCTCCCAATTCATTCTACCCCTGCGCCAAAGGACTGCCTTCTCAGTTGTTAATAATAGTACTTTACTACTTTTGGGTTTAACTTTTCTTACATATGTCTCATTTTCCCAACTACACTATAAGCTTTTTGAGGTCAAGGGACCACTTATTAAACATTTTTATATTTTTTCAATATTTAGCACTCTGCCTGTGTGTTTGGGAAACAAATTATTGATTTTCTTTTCCTGTTGCACTGAGCCAGATACTGTGCACATGATAGGTGTTTACTGAAGTATTTGCTTAAATCAGTGAAAAATGAAGAAAAGGAAATGACATAGGAATTTATCCATTTTAGAGGGACTTAATTTCATAGTAATGGGTTAGTGTATGTTTCTCAGGTCATCTTAGATATGAGAACAAATACAATTTGCTGGAACCCTATGGAAGCATTCATTTTTACTGCAGCAAACGAGGATTACAAGTAAGTTTCCCTTTTCTTATAACTTAATTTCTATCAGAAGTAACTCAACTATATATGTCTTATTAATGAAATATATTTTCCTAGGTAGTACATGTCTCTGTAAAGTTTTATTGGAATATAGTCACATTTATTTATTTTTCACTTTTTAAACTTTTTATTTTATGTTGGGGTGCAGCTGATTGGCAGTGTTGTGATGGTTTCAGGTGAGCTGCAAAGGGACTCGGCCATACATATACATGTATCCATTCTCCCCCAAACTCCCCTCCCATCCAGGCTGCCACACAGCATTGAGCAGAGTTCCATATGCTATAGAGTAGTGCATTTCTCTTTTTCTGCCTCACTTCACTCAGCGTGAGAATCTCTAGGTCATCCGTAGACACATTTACTTGCGTATGGGATACGGCTGCTTCTGTGCTATAACGCCTGAGTTGAGTAGTTGCGACAGAGCCCGTAGGACCCACAAAGCCAAAAATGTTGATTATTTGGCCCTTTACAGAAAAAGTTGGCCAATCCCTGACCTTAACCATGTATCAGTAAATAATGACTGAATCATACATGTTTTAAGAACCTAAAAATGTCTGCCTGCAAAATGTGTAGGCAGGTGATTGTTACTCATGTTGTCACGTTATCAGCCACCACTATTACTTCAGTAAGACAGAAGGAAAAACTAAAGTTTCAGTCTTTACCTTAATAGTTACAGATACATTTATCTGTGACTCTTTGTAAAGGAGTAACTTAGCAGCCTTATGTTCTTGACCTGGATGGAATTTTATGATTTCTTATGTACTGCTTTAAAACTTGCTGAAGCATTCGACATTAGCTCACTTTATCTTTTCAATATCCCTATAAGGTAAATAAGACATGTATGTTATCCCCTTCTTATAGATGAGGGTATTGATGTAGGGGGTTTAATCTCCTAATGAGGAAAGAATATCTTACTCATATTTTTTTAAATCTAAGCATTTATTGTACTGCTTGCTATGCATATGATGGATTCTTAATACGTGTTTTTTTTTGCAGAAGGTGGAAATTGGTCATTGGCTTGAACTTTAGATCTTCTGTATTTAAATTCTTTGTTCTTTCCACTACTGTTAAGAAAGCGTAAATTAGTTTGGAAGTAGGATTTATTATATGATGCTTTAGTGGTTTTAAGCTAAAAGCATCAACTACGGCTTTTCTGTACTAAAACGAAGTTCTCATCAACTCGAACCACTTAATTGAAGTTCTTTTAGCCTTTATTAGTGTTTGAAGTTAAATGCCTTTGTTCTAGTTAAAAGCAATAAAAAAAAGTCCTGCTGAGGAATCTTACTAACATTTCTAAAGTTTGCTCTAATTAGCTGTTTGGGGAAAAGAATCTTTTCTTTCAGAGTATCTTTAGAATTTCTCAGTTTTTGCCTTGGAAATAATTATATATGGAAGCTGAAACAAAGAGTCCATCACTTGTAAAACACTTGTTAGAGTACCATAATTGCTCTTGCTTGAAAGTGGTTTTGCTGTGTAAAATAATCTTTTAACATTTTATTTCTTTTCTTGCCCTTTAAATAATCCTATTGTGATTTAGAAATCCAAGTTCAAGTCTAGACCCAAACAATAACTATTGTAAAAAGTTAGACAAGTCATGTGAACTAGTCTATACCATAGTTTTATCAGGTAATAGGGTTGAACTATATTATCCCTGAAGAATACTGTGACTTGAAACTTTGTTTACAAAAACATTTTGTATCCAGATGGGTTGATTTGCTTGGAATTCTAATAAGTTCTTAACTTTTTTGTCATGTAGAAATTAAAACAATTTACTAAAAAAAATTTGCTAAAAACAAACCTGGTTGAAAACCACTGCTCTAGATAGGGAATATACAGCAGTTTTCAGCTTAGAAATTTAACCTCAGTGATTAGTATGACCTTGATTGACAATCCTGTGTTATGTTTGAAGATCATAAAAGAAAGCAATGACTCGTCTCTTGAGTTATTTGAAAATTGTTACCTTTAGCATCAGTGACTTTTTCTAATAATGGTATCAGGAAATATTCTTTATGAAATTTTTTTTTTTTTTAATTTTTCTTTTGAGGTAATCTTAGGCTTGCCGAAAAGTTATAAAAAAGGTACCTGTAAGACAATTTCCCCAGATGTTAATGTCTTAGGTCACTATAGTTCAATCAGCAAAACCAAGAAATTAACATTGGTACAATATTGTAAACTGTAGACTTTATTCCATCACTAGTGTTCTTTTACTGTTCTAGGATCCAGTGCAGGATCCTACATTGCATTTGCATTTGGTTACCGTGTCTCCTTAGTCTGCTCACTGACTTTCTTAGTCTTCCCTTTTCTGTTATGACCTTAGTACTTTTGAGAAGGACTGACTTGTCAATTATATTGTAGACTGCCCTTAACTTGAGTTCAACTGGTGTTTTCTCATTATTTCATTGAGATTATGCATCTTTGGCAAGAAAACCACAACATCGATATCCCCTTCTTGGTGCATCAGATCAGGAGTACATAATGTCGGTACATCTTATTGCTAGTAATGTTAACCTTCATCACTTAGTTAAGGTGGTGTCTACCAGCTTTCCCCATTAGAAAATTATTATTTTCTTCTTCTGTAATTAATACATATCTGTAGGGAGATACTTAGAAATTTTGTGTTTATCTTGTTTCTCCTCAAACTTTTCCCTTGCTAATATTTGCATCTGGAAGTATTTTGATGTTAGGAAATTGGTTACAGTAATTCTGTATTACTACTGTCCATCATTTATCTTGGTTCATTTTAAGCACTGTTCTTCTAGCTGTCAATGAAAAAAATTTAAACCTCGAAAATCATGAAGTCAGTGTTCTTGCCAATTGTGCACGAAGTATACTTTTCTAATTTTAGTACACCCTTTGAAAAGCTGTGCTTGCTCTCATGTATCACTGATGGAGTATAAATTAGTGTGATTTCATTGGAAGTGATTTATCAACTCAAAAACTTTTAAAAATGCTCATGCCTTTGAACTTAATAATTCTAATTATAGGAATCTGTCCCATTAGATATCAAAAGTTATAATAAAACATTGGAAACTTTACTAACAGATTTAAATATAAATTTAAACAGATTATCAATTATTTTAACTAATTTATATATGAAAACATTAAAAACGTTCAGAGATTAATAGATAAATGCTCATAACATGCTACGTGAAATATCAATATAGAGCTTTATACAGTAATATCTTAATTGTATTAAAAGGCACATAATTAAATAGCATGGTTAAAAGAAACAGTTACATTGTGCTGACTTTCTCTGGGTAGTGAAATTAAATCCTAGTTTTATACTCTTCATGCTCTTGAAGTTTGTACATTTTCTTCAATGAAATTTCTGTTTGTAAGGATTAAAGTGTGTAAGTATAAAATCTTAGGGAATAATAAAACTGTTGATATTTTTCCCTATCCCTTATCTGCTATTTATTTAGATGTGAAGAATTGAGCTATTTATTTAGATGTGCTTTATTTATTAGCTAGCCATCTTAATTTCACTAGTGTCTCTTAGTACTGCATGTGCATTTTTTCATAGAAACTTGTATCAAATAATTAAAAAATCTTTTTACAGCTTGTATACTTTTGATATGCGTGCCCTGGACACTCCTGTAATGGTGCATATGGATCATGTGTCTGCAGTGCTTGATGTGGATTACTCTCCCACTGGGAGAGAGTTTGTGTCAGCCAGTTTTGATAAATCTATTCGAATCTTTCCTGTGGACAAAAGTAGAAGCAGGTATGTTACCACCAGTAAACAATTGTTTCTGTGTGACTTTTTTTCCCTCCCTTGATCATCATGTCTGTTTCAAAAGGTTATTTGGTGGACAGAAAAGCCTGGTGGACTCTAGTCCATGGGATCGCAAAGAGTCTGACATGACTGAGTGACTAACACACACTGGTCTTATGTATATGATGGGACTCACACTCAGGTGTTGTGATGTGGGGTGCCACCTTCTGTATCATCTGTGAGCAAAAACATCGCCTATGGGGCAGATTCTTTATTGAACAAGGTATTAGCTTTATATAATTTATTGATGTGAAATCTTGGTGTTTCAGTCAGTCAGTTCAGTCGCTCAGTCGTGTCTGACTTTTTGCAACCCCATGACTCGCAGCACACCAGGCCTCCCTGTCCATCACCAACTCCTGGAGTTTACTCAGACTCATGCCCATCGAGTCGGTGATGCCATCCAGCCATCTCATCCTCTGTCGTCCCCTTCTCCTGCCCCCAATCCCTCCCAGCATCAGGGTCTTTTCCAATGAGTCAGCCCTTCACATGAGGTGGCCAAAGTATTGGAGTTTCAGCTTCAAAACCTTTTTGAGTGTTTTATACTAATTTTTTAAAGCCTTTATTTTTTTTTTAGGGGAATTGTAGGTTTACAACAAAATTGAGAGGAAAGTAGAGAGTTCCCATATATTCCCAGTTGCTATGCATGCAGAGCTTGTTCCATTATAAACATTTCACATAGGGTGGTACTTTTGTTACCTCACCAAAATGTAGGATGAACCTACACTGACCCATTGTAATCTCCCCAAATCCATTTACCTTAGAATTCACTCTTCAGATCATATATATTCTATGGGTTTGGATAAACGTATAATGACATATATCCATCATGATAATATCATGCAGAGTATTTTCACTGCCTTGAAATAGAGTAAACTTTAAAAAAATTTTTTTAATTTGATAATGAAGAACTTAAAGTTTCCCCTAATACAGTTAAAGAGAAGTTAATAATACCTTATATTTGTTGTTTTGTGCTTATTTAAATTCAACTCTCATACACTAAGGCAAAAATGGAAAAGAGAAAAATTAGGATTTAAATGGTCAGGACAAGTCTCCCTCCATCCTCATCTAGTAGATACGTGCTCTGGAATGATCAGGAGATGGGAGGTCTGAGTACTCAGCTGTTCTGTGCTGTGTGTGTGTCATTGTCTGTTCATTGAATGTAACTCGTGTTTCAGATGTTCTGTTTCATACAACTTGGCCCTCTACTACATACATTACTGAATGTCGTGTATATACTTGTACCACCATGTAATATTATTTTATATGTTATTGTATTGAGGTAGTTTATAGTAAACTGGCATTTAAAGGTTTTCAAGAATAATTTTTGACTGCATTTGATTTTTTGCCAACTTTAAAAATTAACTCCTGTAAGATACAGCCCCTTATATTAGTGTGCTGTGATTTACAGAGCCTTTTATGCATATTCAAGGCAAATCCAAGTAAATGAGAAGATATCTTCCCATAAGGAGTATGGTGGTGTCACTCACTCTTGAAGATACGACCACCTCCATTTTGATACAGTAAAGTAGGAACATTAAATTTAAAAAGAACATATATTCTCTCTAAATTACATATATACACATATGTGTATGCTCAGTCATGTCCAACTCTTTTGCGACCCCATAGACTGTAGCCTGCCAGGCTCCTCTGTCCATGGAATTTCCCAGGCAAGAATACTGGAGTGGGTTGCCATTTCCTTCTCCAGGGGATCTTCCCAACCCAGGAATGAAACCCACATCTCCTGCATCTCTTGCATTACAGGTGAGCTCTTACTGCTGAGCCACCAGGGAGAGCAACCACCCAACATACACAAGACATGTGTGCATACACACTTACACATACACTTGCTTGGGTGACCTCATCTTGCTTCAGTGTTGGAGAGAATGCACATGGTGAAAGATAACAGAATGATGGGAAGTCATAGAAAAGGAAAGGAGATAACTAAGCAGAATCAAGGAAAAGAAAGAACAGAGAACCTGTATACTGTGCTAGAGGACAGCAGTGTGGAGCTGGTGAAACAGTTTCCCCAGCTTTATAAAGACTGATTAGCAGTCTTTATGGGACCCTTTCTTCACTTAAAGCTAGAGAAAGAGCATTCAGTTTGGTGTTGTAACTATAACAGGGTGGAGAAATTTCACCACTCAAGTGCAGTGATGAGAATTTTGATCATTACTCTTAATGGTAACTATCCTAGCTTCTACAGTGTTGAAGGGGTCTGATCTTCCTGAGCAAGTGATGTTTGTTTTCACAGACACATCCTCCTGACTCAGGAGCCTTGCAGGTGCCTAGCCTGCATCTGCACCACCCTGAAAGTGACAGCCTCCTTAGAGTTTACACTGTAGGCACCTCATTTGCCTCACTCTTGTCCCAGCCTTGTGTTCACAACCAAAAGATCTTGCCCACAGAGCCTCTTCAGGGTCACACAGCTCCATACGTTTTTTGGTCGTAGCCAATCTGCTTGTCTAACTCTTTGGTGTTTTTTCGTGTGATAGTTGTATCTTTCTCTTCTCTGACTTGAGGAAGCCATATTAATTCCTAAACTTTTTCATATCAGCATGAATTGCTAGCAGATAACTGTCATCATCATCGTGTATGATTAAAAGGGTATTTGAATCAAAAGTATACTGGGCGGGTGTTCTGGTGACTTTGATCTTCATTTTGTCATTTTCTGTTTTGAACTCCTGGGGTTGGTTACTATGTGACTGTTGAAACTAACTTGATATTCTTGTCAGGAGTGGTTTGTTGGTAATTGTTCAGTTAGGCCCGAGGCAAGGCTGATAGTTTCTCTTCTTCTCACCTCTCTGGAAAAAGAATCAAGAGAGTGTGGCCCTCCATCATGTCTTGACACCAGGACCTCCAGAGGTATTAAAGTAGGACAGTTCTAACATAAGCAGACTTAAGGATCAAAGGAGGAGTACAAGAAATGGGAAATTTAGGCACCCGTGATGCCAAGAGCCCCATAGTTGAGTTCAAACTGATTATTCTAAAACCAGCATAGGCAATTAAATGCAAGTCTAGTTAAAAGCTCAGATTATTCCAAAATTATACGAAGTGAGTAGTTCTAATACCCCATTTCTAGGAATTGTCTCCTGATGTTTTTTGAAGATTTTGTAATCACAATTTAATACGTGTTACTTCCTTTTGGGTTTAGTTATAAACGATATAAATGATACTCTCTCTGACCGTTACTGTCATCTGCTGGAAAGCTGCTTCTGGTTTGTTTCCATGGTCTGTTCTAGTTTCCTATCATTACAAAAACATCAAATAATACAGGCAGTGCTTTGAATGATCTGTTTTTTTAATATTTTCTTTTCAAAGAACTTAAAGTCACTGAAATATATTTTTAAAGTAAATTTTCACCACAGCCAAAAAATAAAAATACGGAAATCTTTAAAAAAATAAATTTTGAATAGGTTTTCAAAAACTACAGTTAAATCAATATTTGAAGGTAACTTCTATGGATTTCATTCAGTATTTACTTAGCAAACAAGTAAATTCAGTTGCATTCACATGGAACAATTCTTTTAGCTTGACTGTGTATGTAAAGAATTTAAGTTTTTAAATTATTTATCTCCACCAATAGTATAATTTATAATGAAATTTATGTGTCTGTTCTATGTACGAGCATAAACATATCTAGAAGTTAGAACTCTGTGTAGTTTACCATTGAGGATTCTCAGTTGGCCAAGTAACTGTCCACTGGATTGGTCTGGTCTAATATCAATACATGAACTGATGTAATATATGCAGGTTATTTTTAGTGGTTACCAAAGCCTTATTGAATTTCCTGATATTTACACTCAGTATATTGCTGTGAGGAAAGGGAGATCTTAAATAGGTAGAGGTTGTGAGAATTGAGTCTTGTAGAAGCAGAGCATTGAGAGAAGAAAAGGCAGGCTGTCTGATCTACTTTTCCTTTTAATAGTATGTTCATTCTAACCATCCTCTCTTTTAGAATTGTGTCATGTGGTTTATCTACATGGTCAGTCAAGAGCTCAAAATGTATCTGTTAGAAATAGCACAATAGACTACTTTTCTGAGCGTACTTCAGAAATGTTTTTATAGGTAACTAAATCTATCGATTTCATCATCCGATGTGAGTTTTCTTTTACTGTGCAGAACTGGCTGAGCGTGTTTCCTTTGTAGTCTATATTTTGAATCACTTAATCCAGATAAGGAAGTTTTACTTTTCCAGGAGTCTCATGTTTTAATTTTTTCTGACCTTGTCTTTTACTTGCTTTTTAATGCTCTGCTTAACACTTCCTAATATAGTATCTCCTGTGAATTCACTTAGCATGTTTCACACCTTTCCAAATAGGTATGATATTTGACATCTCCATTTACTAAATGATCCTTACCTCAACTCATCACTTCTGTAGTCCTCTCTTTCTTTTCACATATGTAAGTCATCCGCTCACTTTAATTAAATTTTTCAAATTAAACTTTTTCAACAATTTGACCAAAACAGAAATCAGACATTAGGATCAGCATATCAGGATGTGTTCTTTGAATGCCGTTGAGTTTTTTTTTTCCAGTGAAATGAAACCCAAAAAGTGTGGTGGTTGATTTTACTGTTACTCCAGCTTCAGTGTATTTTATTTGTGTTATATGCCCATAGTTATTTTGTGATTTTTTTCTGTATATCTAGTTTTGCTTGGTTTGTTTTTCTTATTTTTCTTACTGGATTATAACTTCTCTGGGGGCGGGACTTTTTAATAAGTTCAGCAGCAGTAGCATAGAATCTTAGCAATATGGTCCAATAAAAATACATTTAAATGAATTTTAATTTCTTTTTTATACTCTTTCAGGACTCAAAACAATGTTACCCTGATACTTGATAGGTAGTTGGTTAAGGAAAATCTGTACCAGATTCCTAAAGGTTTTAACTTAGTTCCTCTTTGTAGGGAAGTCTATCACACAAAGAGAATGCAGCATGTTATCTGTGTAAAATGGACTGCTGACAGCAAGTACATTATGTGTGGATCTGATGAAATGAACATTCGTCTATGGAAAGCTAATGCTTCTGAAAAGTTGGGTGTGGTAAGAGATCCTATTTTCTCTCATTATCACACAGCTTGTTTCTAGTGTTATTGAATATTGTTATAAAGAATTTATTTCAAGGGCTTTAGTTTTGATAAAAGGAAATAAGCTAGCTACGAAACAGACAAGGTTGTATGAAGTTTACTTTTTTCATGTCAAAGGCACCTTCAGAGTTCTTTATTTTTGTTTTTGCTCTTGGCCACACTGCATGACTTATGGGCTCTTAGTTCCCTGACCAGGGGTTGAACCTGGGCCTCTGGCAGTACAAATGCTGCGTCCTAACCACTGGACCACCAGGGAGCTCCCCCAGTGGCCTTTGTTAATTCAAATGTTTGATCACATTTGAGCCTTCTTGTTTCTTTGTATTTTCCTTAAGGTAGGGAGAGAAAATGTAGGGACTAGAGGCTTAGAACTTGGAATGTGTATTTTGTTAAAGGAATAGTAATCAGACAAATCAAAGACTGCAAGTCTCTGTGAGGTATTAATATTTTAATATCAAAGACACAGTGAAACACTTAAAAAAATACGCAGCTTCAGACTTAAAAAAGATTTGATGAAAATATAACAAATATTACTGTTGACTGGCAACCTCTGGGTTGTGAGTTAGGGTTGATTTCTGTTCTTAATATTTTTCTAAATGTCTCATGTTTTCTATAAGAAATATACAGGTTGTTTATATCTGAAGCAAATAGTAAGTTTAATAAGGAAAGGTTAAGTGTGGTTTATTTTCTGCTTAGCCCTGGAAGGAAAATCAAGATATAAAAATAAGCAATTAAAGATAAATTTATTTTAGGTTTAATAATTATTAAAGTACTACACTATCATTAAATATTCCTCTAAATCATATCATCCTTAACGGTTGTTAGGCAAAGCCTGGTTATTATGTCATCACTTTTGTTTCTGTTTGAATAGTTTTTACAGAAAAATTTTTTGAGTGGTTCATTAAGTGCTTTTTCTATGTTATGTGGACCAACTCAGTGGTCCACAGAACCTAACTCCCTAGGCACTGCTTTTTTGCACTTGGTGGCATCCATCCATTAGTACATTGTAGGCACCCTGACTAAAAGGAAATACAGTGCTTGCAGAGCTCGTATCAATAACATAACCTTGTAATGGGTACAGTTTAATGTAACTGTATTAGTAATTTCGGTTGCATGTCATAAATGTTGATATTGGGGAAACATTTCTTCCTAACTCTGTTGAACTTAAGCAAAATGAACACATCATTCGTGAAAACATCAAAATGTATTTTTTTCCAGCTTACATCACGAGAAAAAGCAGCCACAGATTATAACCAGAAGTTAAAGGAGAAATTTCAATATCATCCTCATATAAAACGTATCTCTCGTCACCGACATCTACCAAAATCTATCTACAGCCAGATTCAGGAACAGCGCATCATGAAAGAAGCTCGTCGACGAAAGTATGTTTTGGAACATTTGTATCTCTCAGTACTGTTTTCTAACTCTCCCCTCACATCCCACCAAAACCAAACAGAAAATGTGCCTGTCAAAGGAATATTTTATATGCTGTTGTACATCAGAGGTGGTTTTGAATACTCTTCTGGGCTTTTTCCTGATAAAAGGGGAAGCTATGATTATCTAACATGATGAGAATTTTCATTACCTATCTTTGGGAATATGTTTAAAGGGCAGACAATGTCAATGACATACATATCAAAATTAGAAAAGGCTCTACTCATACTGAAAAAACTATTGTAAATAGTGTAAAAAAATGATTTCTGATGTGGCTGGAATTAAGAGGTAATGGTGTATTTTCTAGCTTAAAGACTGACAAGAACATTTGTTAGATAAAAATTTATCTAATATGCTTGCTTCATCATAACATTTGGAATCTAGTATTTTGGCTCTGAAGCAAAAGTGGAAACATCACCATCATTTCCCCTGTAGAATATTCTTCTCTTTGCAATCCTTGAATTCATGTAATAATATATTATAGAAATTCTGAGAGTTTTTTTTTAATTAGACAATGCAAATTGTTATTTTGTTATGTTTGTGTAGATGTTGGGGTTGAGTCAATTTTAAACATTTTGATAACTTGCAGCAGGTTTTTAAACTTAGTAAAGACAGTGATGTAGTAAGAGAAGAAGCAAATAAGTTAACAGAAGTTGGTTTCTAAGTGAAAATCGCTGAGTCATATCTGACTCTTGCAACCCCATGGACCATATTGTCCATGGAATTCTACAGGCCAGAATACTGGAGTGGGTAGTCATTCCCTTCTCCAGAGCTGCTACTTACCTACTCTTGTGAAAACTTTTTTTTCAGTGGGTAGTTTTAGTGAAAGAAAATGCCTTGTAATTTTTCTGAGAAAGTTTTCTTTGGTTAAGGTGACTTCTTATAAACTTAAATTTTGTGTATTTTGTTTAATTTCTAGGGAACTGAATCGTATCAAACATAGCAAGCCTGGATCTGTGCAGATGGTGTCAGAGAAGAAGAAACACATAGTGGCAGTTGTGAAATAATATTTGGTATTCTTACTGATACTAATGTATAATTATTTGTTACATGTTGATTTGTGAACTCTATAAATAAAAGTACTGCCCCTCTTATAACAACAGATGTTTTAGTTATATGTGTAGAGCTTAATTGTTGCACATTTTTGCTGTCTTGAAAACTTGTCTTTAAAGGTGACCTGATTGATAAAGACTGTCCAACATGTTATCCTTGATCATCTTTCTTCATTGAAGAATACAGAATTTACAAACTAAGTTATTTTTTGCTGTTAGAAATTACAGATATACTTTCACTTTGATCTGTTATTTTAGACACTCTACATTTGAATTTACATCTAAGACCAAACATCTCTTTTGTTACCTTCAATGTTCCTTTGGATAATTATTGCAATGATTCTTCCTTGGATTCCATATGACACATAGAAGAATTTTGTCTGAACTTTTCTCAATTGAACTTATTGTCTGTGTTTTATTTATATTGGGCTTTTTGAGACTGTATAGATGATTAGCTACATTTATATAACTTTTATAAATCATAATTATAACTTACAATATTATAAAATATCCTTTTTCTCAGCATTATGACTTTGTTCCATTTCTGCTAAATAATTTCTTTTTAATCTCAGCAATCATAAAAAGCTCTGTGTGACATAGATTGGGGTTTTGGTTTTTTTTAAACCCATCATCAGTATTATAAATACAAACCTAATTTTTAGGAAGTTATGTTAAAAAGAGATTAAAAATCCAAAAGAAAAAATATGAATACATATATTTGTAGTAAAACTATTTAAAATACAACAGCAATGATAAATATCAAAATCTGGAAAGTGAGAGAAGGATTCAATCAGGGTGGGATACACAGGAGATTTTAACTCTTGATAAGGTTTCTTTCTTCATCTGTGTGTACATTCTATTATTTTTTATGCTTTCTTGGATATTTTAAATATTTCATCGTGTTTTTCTCAAAGCTGATAAAGACATCAACCATCTACCTTTTACTCCTTTGGAGCTACTGTAGGACTCAAAATGCTTGATTTATAAGGTGAACCAAGTTCTCTTGTACATTTTAACACTGCTGTTAGTTTGAGTGTGGTTTCAAAGAAAATATACTGATCTATAAACATGAGCTTCTGTGTCAATTTGAATCCATCAAGAAGCAGGTGCTTACGGAAGACATGTGAGAGATTTCCTGGAGGGGACTGTCTTTGACGCATAAAGAGGAGGAGCAGGAGGGGGCAGGTAGAGCCTTCCATCTGTACTGTAGGCTTGACCTCTGGGGCAGGAGAGCAGGAAGGCGGGAGGACCCTTCCCTGATGTAGGAAGAGCCTCAGACTACAAAGGTTGGACCAGGTTGTTGGGGTGTTCTTGAGCCCCAATTGCGTGTCAGAGGAGTCCCATGTTGTGAGACTGGTTCAGTGCTACTGCCCCCTGTCTGCTCTCTCAGTGGCAGGGAGCAACCCCAGGGGAGCCTGGCCTTGTAGCAAATGCAGTGGTGAATTCAGAGGGGTCGCAGCTAGGACCCCTCAGCTGGGACTCAATCAGCTGTGCTTCCTGCAACCAGTTCTCTCAAAAGAATTCCAGACGGAACATTTCTGTAGCTGTACCTCTTGCACCACACAGACCCACTTCTTGCAGGATTGGGCAGCAACTCCATGACTTCCATGTACATAATGAGGAGTTGAATCGGATCATCAATATTCCCTGTCACTGACGGGCAATGACTGGTAGTCACCCTGTCTTCCATCATCCATTTTAAATATTTCTCATCCACAGGTATCACTTTAGCAGGTTTTGGTGACTTACCTAATCTTGTGACCCAAACCTTCATTTCTGAGGGGTCCAACCTTTGTTGATCATACCCTTATCAGGCTGGGGTTGTTACACATATCCGTTTACAGTTGCAATGGAGCGAGGGAATACCAGTAGACACGAAATGGGTCACTTGTGTTCTGTACAAGTTCTCCATTCCCCCCCTCTACCACCACCACCTCCTGCTGATCAAAGCCAGTGACCTCTGCCAGGAGGATGACTGCTTTTCTAGCTTGTTGGCCCCTGTAAGTACAAAGTACTTTGGTGACAATGGCAATTAATTCAGTAGAACTTGTGCTGTGTACCCTAATAAGAGTGTGCCCTCTTTTGGTGACCAGTCCTGACCCTGAAGAGCCCAGTTTTAGAAATGGTAACCAGAGTCCTCCAGTGAGTCACTGGAAGTGATGGTAATTGGAGCCATCACACGTATCCTCTCATCTTGTGAGTTAATGCATATATTGCATCCTGAAGGATGGTACCCTGTCCTTTCAGCATGTTGCCTCTGAGCTGGTGCTAACATTGTGTCTTTAGTAGGCCACTCCAGTGATCTCTGAGATGGCATATTTCTGGATTGCCTTTATGTGATACGATCAATGGGTACTGTGGTTGGGCCCACTCTCACTTCTTCACTGAAATAGATCCCCTTGATAAAAACTACTGGGGGGTGGGGGACTTCTCTGGTGGTCCAGTGGTTAAGAATCCATCTCTCAATGCAGAGGATATGGGTGCAATCCCTGGTCCAGGAAGGTCCTATGCGCCACAACTACCGAGCCTGTGTTCTAGAGCCCACAGCTGCAACTACTGAGCCCGTGTGCTGCAGCTCCTGAAGACTGCACACCCCAGACAGCCTGTGCTCCACAACAAGAGAAGCCACCGCAATAAGAATCCCACACACAACTACAGAGTAGCCCTCACTCAGAAACTCGAGAAAAGCTCTTGTGCAGCACCAAAGATCCAGCACAGCCAAAAATAAACATATAAAAAATTAAAATTTAAGAAAAATTGTATTGGGGTGGGATTGATGCCTGAGAATTAGGCATTCCATTAATATCCAAATAGAGGTGCTGGCTGAGACATGTAGCTCTGGTATCTCGGAATATCAAAATAGATGTCCCTGTGAAGTTGAGTTGCTGGCCCTTCTAGAATCAAAAGGATCCAGTGTAGTAAAGTTGATGCCAAGTGGCCTGTTGTTCTAAAGGAATAGTGCCATATTGGGGGCATAGCATCTCTGTTGCTGACAGATTGGATAGAAACACAAGAGCTAGATCAGCTTTGATAAGGGGGAGTTTATCTGTTGGGCTCATTCATAGCCTCTGTCTTTGCCACAGGCCATTCCTTCCACATGCCCGTTGTGCCCCTTCTAGGCTGGCCTCTGTCAAGTGATGGAATCGTTTTATCTACTTGGTTGTTATGTGCTGCCTCTATGGTGGATGCTTTCTGGTGGGCATTAACAAGTTATACCAACATATTTACTCTTTATGTGCACATCCTCATCCATCCACATACTTGTACCCCAAGCCTTGTCTCTGATCTTCCAGCTGTTACTCTTCCACACCCTCTCCAAAGGGCCAGCCATAGACCACTGACCAGGAATCTCCCCTAAGTACACTTCGACATAAAACTACAACCAGGTGCTTGCTCCTAGATCTGCCCATTGGGAAGATTTTTCCCTCACTACTCTCTTTCAAGGCCCATCCCTTTATATGTCTCTAATGCAGCCACCTTTACCAACAAAGATCCATATAGTCAAAGCTCTGGTTTTTCCAGTAGTCATGTACAGATGTGAGAGGTGGACCATAAAGAAGCTCAAGCACTGAAGAATCGATGTTTTCAAACTGTGGTGCTGGAGAAGACTCTTGAGAATCCCTTGGACAGCAAGGAGATCAAACCAATCAATCCTAAAGGAAATCAACTCTGAATATGTATTAGAAGGACTGATGCTGAAGCTCCAATATTTCAGCCACCTCATGAGAAGAGCCAACTCATTGGAAAAGACCCTGAGGCTGGGAAAGATTGAAGGCAGGAGGAGAAGGGGGCAGCAGAGGATGAGATGGTGGAATGGCATGACCGACTCAATGGACATGAGTTTGAGCAAACTCTGGGAGATAGCCAAGGACTGGGAAGCCTGGCATGCTGCAGTCCATGGGGTTGCAAAGAGGTGGACATGACTTAGAGACTGAATAACAAATGCAGCTACAGTACACTTGGGTTTTGTACCCATATTTTAAGTCAAGCCAATCCTTCAGCTGTTTGTACCCCGCCTCCCCATATGGCTGTAGATAAAATGTGAAAAATGGCATTAATGCAACAGCGATTGGTGATGTGTAGGTCTGTGCTTCCTGCTTGTGCATCTGATTTTTACCTTCTGGTCCTGCTTGGGCTTGACTGCTTATGTAATGTTTTGTCTTCTGAGGGACTACTGCTGAGTTCATACAACTTTAAATATCTTGGTGGGTCTGACTGAAAATGGGCAGTTCTGGATGACTTGGTTACTTGGTGCTCATGGGCAAGCATGCTGTGTCTACCAGAGCTCAGCAACATATTAGAAAAGGCTTAATGCGCTGCAGATGGCATGGCTTTGCTCTGGAATCCTAGAGTATTGTGATTCTGCCACCAAGGCTTGCCATAAACTCCACACTGCATCTTTTCCCACCTCTGATGCTTCTAGGTCTGCTGAATCTTGTGGCCTGAGCTTTCAGGGCCACTTGCACCACAGCTAGCTCTGGTACTGTCCTAGGCCCCTCACAATGCTGGTAGCCTTCTGTTACCAACATAGGAGCCAGAGCATAAATATTCCTAGGTGTGGAATAGGTTGCCTGCACTACTCAAAGAGGTCCACCAGGCACAGTGCTTCCTTCCAATGAAATATTTTGGAAGAGATATCATGGCAGGCCCCTGATCACTAGACCTCTAAAAAGTCACTTACATATATGGCACATTACTGAACTTTCAAATGATTAATTTTTCACCCTCTTGACTACAGGTGTCTTACCAAAGCTTCCAGTACACTAGTCATCTCTGGCTCATCCTGTCCAGTAGCAGAATGTCATCAATGTAATGGGTATATGTATTGTTCTATGGGATGTCCTTTCAGTCCAGATCTTTTTGGACTATGAGAGAATTCAGAAGAGTTAACAGTTCATGGACAAAAGTAAACAAATATTATTCATTCCATGTGAATATGAACTGTTGCTGGTCCT